ATTTAATGATACCCAAAAAATAATAATAATAATAATAATAATAATAATATTTAATGAACATAAACCTCTTAGTGCAATGCCTAGCACATAACAGATATTTAATAAACAGTAACTAATATTACATAAATTTTAAATAGAACCATATAATAAATGTATACATATTCTAAAGAAGGCTGGATAAACTTCAGAAAACAACCCATGTTTCAGAGTCTCTGAAACAAAGAGTTTACACTGTAACAGATCTTGGGACAGGGACTTATGCAAGCTATCACCAACAAAGGTCCTTCTATTGAATCCTCAGCGCCTACATTCATGTCAGCTAGCTGGTGTCCATGGCACCACCCTGCACATATACACAACCTACGTCTCCAAGGAAGGCAGCTCATAACAAGAGTGGCATCTACTCTCCTTGGTATCTTTTCCCTAAGGTTTCTTTACTAATGGTGTCAAAACTGCAGAAGAATACACAGGGGGCAGGGAAAGAGTCTCACACAATTGGAAGAAGACCATACAATTCCATAAATATTTATTGAGCATCTACTATGAGCCAGGAATCATCTCTCTCTTTCATGTCATGTCATAACTTCAATAGTGACTCCATAAACCTGATTTTGCTATTCTAAAATAAACTTTTGTCATATCTATTAAGTTTACAGAGCCATCATTTACAGAATTTTCCTTTGCAAGGCAAATTCATCGTCATGAACACGATTGGATTAGACCTGACCAGAGTGGATATAACTGAAAACTGAATCATCAGAGAGTTGGCGTGGTACACCTGGGGCTGAGAGAGTGGGCAAGCAAAGCTGAGTCTATATATGGCAAGATTCTGTAATCATATTCAGGCAGAAGCACAAGTTTCTTGGCATGGCCTCCAACATCCTCCATGATCTGGCTCCTTCTCCATCTCTCCCCACTCTCCCACATGCTCCGTATCATCCCATTCTGCATATAAAATCTGTCCCATACTCCCTGCCTTTGTTCCAACTCTGTGAGGAACGGCCTTTACCTATTCAACTCCCAGACTGGCCTGCATGTCTGTCTTTCACACTGGAAGTTGCTGGAGGACAAGGAGTGAATCCCATTCACATCTGTATCTGTAACTCCAACCTGGGGTCTGCAGATAGAGATCCATTAGGAAACAGTCAGAAGAGTCCAGAACTGAAGGCTGGTTTCAAATGGAGCTCTGTTTCAAATGCTAGCTTGGCCATTTATCAGCCATATGACCCTTGGATAAGTTAACCTCTGCGTGCTTCAATTTACTCTTTCAGGGATCCCTGGGTGGCGCAGCGGTTTAGCGCCTGCCTTTGGCCCAGGGCGCGATCCTGGAGACCCGGGATCGAATCCCACGTCAGGCTCCCGGTGCATGGAGCCTGCTTCTCCCTCTGCCTGTGTCTCTGCCTCTCTCTCTCTCACTGTGTGCCTATCATAAAAAAAAAAAAATTTACTCTTTCATAAAATGGAGACAGGAGGCATTTTACTGAGTTGTTGGGGAAATCAAATCACTGTAAATACATGAAGCACTCAGAAGAGTACCTGGCACAGGATAAGAGTTATGTAAGAATTCATCATATTTGCTGATATTTCATAAACATTGCTGTTAAAAGTATGTGTAATAAAGAAAAGTGAAGGAGGAAGGGAGACTGTGCCCCGTAGCTGAGCAAACATTGAGTTCACATGCTGGCTACATGCTGTCCTGCTAAATGGAGCATGTGGTGTGGCCCCTCACTATGCACTCACAAAGGAAACACTGGGTTTTTTTACCCTGGTTGGTGTCCATGACCTTATTTCTTACGTGGGCTACCCGCCCACCCCTGCCAGAGCCAGCTAGCTGGGTACTCCCAAACCGTGCAGCAACAGCACAGCATGACATACCAGGGACACCGCTCAATCCCTTGTGTCCCAGCCCCCACTGGAGATATTCCTGCTCCCAGGACATTGTGCTGAGCATTATAAATGATCTTGTCCAACATCTCTCCCTAACAGAAATACTGAGGTCTGGAGAGGTAGTGTCTGCACCTTCTTAGTACCTCCTTTATAAAGGTTACTTTGTCATGCAGTCAACTTTATAGTAGGTACTAAAAATAGCATCATCATAGTTTAAAGCTGGAAGGAACTCAAGGTTTACCTACTCTAGTACTTTTGAAACTCTACCTTTTAGGGTGTCAGGATGAACTGTGAGCTCTGTGGCAAATATCTCATTCATTCATTTGGTGAATATTTATTGAACACCTACGGTGTAACCCAAGCCAAATACCACTCCTGCCCTCCCAGGAGGACCAGGTCCTCACAGACTCATAGCGAAGAGTGGCATTAAGCAAACAATCACACACCTAATAGTAAAGTCCTATTGTTGTGAGTGAATTTGCTTTAAAATATGCCGGAAAGAGTAACTCTTACTTACCTGTCAATATGCTTTCTGAGCAAGAAGAAAAAGGCAGGGTTGGGGCAGAGAGGGCAGTTACAGGTAGGGCCCGGAAACTACCCACTCCACTGGGTTCACCAGTGCCAGGGTCTTGTGTAGACTAACATTACTATTATGCGGCTACAGGAGAGCCTGGGAACCACTGAACTAACCCAACCGACCCTATTTGACAGACAGGTAAATGAAGAGGCCTAAAGAGTTTAACTCACTTGACAAACTAGCAGAGTCAATACATGGAAGAAATTTAAAATCTTTTAGTGGCTCACACAGTCTGCCAAAAACAAGTTCACATCCCACAGCATGGCCCCTGGTCTGAACCCTTCTCATTTCTCCAGCCTCCACCTCACTACTATCCTGCTGCCCACTGATATCCAGCCACTCTGAACTGTATGCAAAGCCCCAAATGTACCTCTGCTATACCCCTACTATGCTCTCTACCAGATATCCAAAGTTGACAGCCCCTAAATACCTCCCACTCCTTTTCAGCACTCAGAACTCAGCTTACAACTCTGTCCTCCAGGAAGCTCTTCTCGAGATGGCCTTCCTCTTCTCCCATAGCACTTACAGCTTTACACAGGGACAGGGAAACACTCATCACATAATGTATTCATCCATTCAACAAATATTTATTGAACACTTTCTACATGCCATGCATCTGAGGATACAGCAGCAAGTAAAACAAAGCCCCTGCCCTCATGGAACTTACATTCTAATAAGGGAAACAGATAATAAACAAACAATACACAATATAGTATCAAGTAGAGTTTAGTGCTATAAAAAAAAAACATAAAATAAAGAAGAGCAAGGGTTGGAGGAGGGATCACAAAGAAGTCTTCTCTGAGGAGGCGGCATTTGCTCAGAGATCAAAAGCAACAGAGCAAGCCATGCAAATAACTGGGAAAAGAACATTTTAGGACGTAGCAACAAAGAGCCTATAATCACTGCAATGACTTGTTTTACTCGTGTTTTATTCCTACTGAACTATTAAGGTCCTTGAGGGCAAAGGTTAAGCGTTTTTGATTCCCAGGGTCCAGCATCCATAGCAAACACTCACAGACCGTGAGCATGAACCTGGCATGTATGCCTGCTGGTTTCTGAGACCTTCTGGTTCCACCTCCCAAGATCTAGCCAGCTTCATGTCTGTCTCTCCCACAGGGCTAAGCTAAGCACAGGCCCTCCTTGGGCCAGTCAGCCTCACCTGATTCTGCGGCTTGGTTTCAGTCCCTGGATTCTTTCTTCATTAGGACCACAGCACTGACAAGTTCTCCCTCATATCACTGGCCCAGATCTGGGACCCTCCCTGTCCAGAACTGGGAGCCCTCCTTCCAGGTTTCCTAGGCATGGATGTCCTCCTCTGAATCCCCCAAGGCCCAAGCTTGGGGACCCTGACGCCTGGAGTCAGACTTCCCCAGTGGCTAACCCCTACTACCTTCCTGGAAGTCTACCCTGCCTGATTCTTGACTTCTCTCCAAACTACATGACTCCTTCCCTTTGGGACATCAGCCTTCAGACCTCATCAGTCCTTTCTGGGGCCATGTCTCCATGTGTTGCAACTTCATGAAACCATTTCTGGATGTCTGCCATAGCCAAAGCACAGAGCTAAGTACCTGAGTCTTCATGCTGCCCCCTGTAGATTCCTGCTCCCTCAGCGGACCATCTGAGTCTCAGTCTGCAGACTTGACTGCCCTAAGTCACAATCTCACCAGTCCTGGAACCCTGTAAAATAGCCTTAGAAGCCGAAAATAAAGTCAAACGGCTTTATCCAGTCAGCCGACGACCCTCTGTGTCACACTGGTGCTTCATCCCGGCCCCCGCCAGGTCTAAAATGGGTTCAGGGATGAATAACCCATCCCTTCATTCACCTTTTCATCCACCACTTCTTGACGTGCGCTATATGCCAAGCCCCAGAATATAAGATACAGTTCCTGCACTGAAGATGATGATGATGTGGTGGTGGTGGTGGTGGTGGTGGTGGTGGTGGACTAAGAGAGAGAGAGGAGGTAGGATTAGTGGCGTTCTGGCCACTTGCACTACGCTACAGTGAGCAGTGAGTCTTCTAATACTAACAGACCAGAGACTGCACGGAGAGGAAACAGACCTAAGAGGCGAAGCAACTTGCTCGGTCACAGGCTCGGTGGCAGGGCGTTGTGGGGGTGTAGGGCGGCCCGCCTCCAAGGTACAGACTGCTCAACCGCCACACAGCAAGCGCTGAGCGAAGAGAACTTAGATGAAGAAGTGAGAGAGGGCCCGGGGCCGCGAGGACCACAGCTGGGGGGGGGGGGGGTGGAGACAGGCATAAGCTCAGACCCACGGCGCAGGCTAGTGCTGGTACCTGTGACAGGTGAGCGCCGACGGCCAGAGCCAGGCGGAGGGTGGCCGGCCGGGCCGGAGCGGGCTGGAAGCCGCCTGGGAGGAGCGACTTGGGGCTCGGCCTGCGGGAGGCGCACGGGCGCGCGGACTCAGCAGGGGCCCGGCCCTCGGCCCGCGCCGGCAGCTCCGGGCCCTCCGAGGCCCGCGTGTCCACCCCCCTCGCTGTGCCCCGCGCCGCGCCGCGCCGCGCCGGGCCGGGCCTCACCTCTTTCCACCTGAGCTGGCGGATGCTGATCTTCAGGGCGTCCAGGGAGGTCCTGGCCTTGGAGCTGTCCACGGTGACCGGCCGCGGGGAGCAGAACTCGTCCGCCGGGTTCCCCGAGCTCCGCCGGCAGCCCCGGCCCTTGCCCGGGGGCTCCCGGTGCAGGCGGAGGCCCCGCGCCCGAGCGGGCTGCGGCTGGGCCCGGGGCGCCGGGGGTGGCGGCCGCGGGACGGCGCGGGCGTCCCCCTCCTCCGCCGCGCGGGGCCGCCCCCGGGCGCGCTCCTCCCGCGGCTCCTCGGGCGCCTCGCGCTCCGGCTCCCCCGCGGCGCCCGCGTCCGCGCCCGCGCCCGCGCCCGCGCCCGCGCCGACCTGCTCTGCGGGCGCCGGCGCTCGGGCCACGGCCACCACCTCCGCCTCCCGCCCGGCCGCCGGCTCCCCGTCGGAGCTGCCCCGCCGCATGGCGCTCAGGGCCGCTGCCAGCGCCAGTGCCGCCGCCGCCGCCGCCGCCGCTCCGCCGCCCCGGCCCACGACCAAGCCGCCGCCGCTGCCACGCGCTCCCCGCCCGAGCCCGTTGCCATGATCGCTCAGGCTTCGGTTGACAAGGGCGGCCGCCTCCGCGGGACGGGGCCCGGGAAGGGACAATCGCCGCCCGAGCCGCCGCGGCTTCCTAGGCGACGGCGCCCACGTGGCCAGGCCTGTCGCAGAGGCGGCGGCGGCCATCTTGGAAGAGGGCGGAAAGAGCCGCCGGCGGCCGGGGAGGGCCGCCCGGGCTCTCCGGGGGCGCAGCACTGGGCGGGGCCGGAGGTGAGCTGGAGAGCGCGAGGGTGCTGACCCCTGTGGGCGCCCGCGCCCTGCGCCGGGGACTGCGGAGCACAGACGCGAAGGCCCCAGCAAGGGGCTCACGTCCCCGGCCCCCGTCAGCGGCCGTGGGGACAAGTCCGGGCTGCACGAGCCCCGGCGTCGCGAGGCGAGGCGCCTGCTGTGAGGACGGGCCGCGCGGGAGCAGCCGCCGCCCGCGGAAAGCGCTGCGGTCCCGGGAGGGCCCTGCCCTCGGACGGCGCCCGTGGACGGAGAGGCCCTGCACGGTCAGTCGTTCCCGGCCAGCCGAGGGCGCGAACGCCGGTTTTCTTTTTCCTTTTCTTTTCTTTTCTTTTCTTTTCTTTTTTTTTTTTTTTGTGGTAAAAGAAACCTAAAATTCGCCATTTTAACCTTCTTAGCTGTGCAGCCCAATGGAATCAAGTGCACCCACATCATCGTGCAAAAACCATCCCCACCATCCGTGCCGGGGAACCCTTCCCATCTCCTCGAGTCGAAACCGCGACTCCCAGCCCCTCCCCCTGCGCCTGGCGACCACCACTCTGCAGTCCACGAACTCGACTCCTGCAGGACCTCGCCACAACGTGGGTCCCCCTGTGTCCAGCTAACTTCGCCGGCGTAGAGCCTTCACCGCTCGTGCAGCGGCCTCGGACCCCAGGGGGTCGTTCCTCCCTAGGACTGAACCACGTCTCGCTGCGGGAACCTACCGCATGGTCCCCACCCACTCACCCGTCCGCGGACGTTTGGGCTGCTTCCGCCTGCTGGTTATTGAGAACAATGCTGCCGTGAGCAAGGGAGCACGGATACCTTTTCAGGTCCCTGGTTTCATTGCTTTTGGGTCGCAGTATATATTTTTTAAAGAGTATTTATTCATGAGAGACTCCCAGAGGGAGGCAGAGACACAGGCAGAGGGAGAAGCAGGCTCCGTGCGGGGAGCCCGACGCGGGACTCGATCCCGGGACCCTGAGATCACGACCTGAGCCCCCCAGGGGCCAATCCAAGGAGAGGGTCTCCCCTCTCACCTTTGGGAGTCACATTTGTTTGTTCAGGGGAACAATGCAGTTGGGAAAGTGTAACAGCACCCCCAGACTGAAGACAGTAACTGCAACGGCACACGGGTGGCCCCTTTTTTTTTTCACTCGTCTCCCCTGGCCTCTTGTTTCTTGTTTCTTCGTTTTGGCCCAAGGATGCCCTGCTTGAATAAACCGCCTTGAAATGTACCAGCCACAAACGCAAGAGGGCCAACCGTCCTTTTAGCAGCAGAGGGCGCTCCCATCTCTCTCTCTCTCTCTCTCTCTCTCTCTCTCTCTCTCTCTGGAAGCCACCGTGTTTATTTCAGTGTTTTAAGTGTAGTCATGTGACTGCCGGTACCTGAGTTAATTGGTACAAATAACTTATTTAGAATGCAGGCTCTTGAACCCCAACCCCAGAGATTTTGATGCAGAATATCTGGGCGGGACTGGGAGTCTGTATGTTAAATTAGTTCCTCTGCTGACTCTAAGGCACCTAGTGTCAAGAACCACTTATCTAGTCTGTCTCAAGGCCTCTAGAGATCCTTGGAGCTGTCCGCGGTACCAAAGAGAAGCCCCCACCCCACCCCCCCATCCCTGCACCAACCTACTCCCCCCACTAAATCCTGTCTCTCCTCTATCCCTGGTCTTATCGAGGGTTACTGCCTTTATTCAGTCATCCCTGCTTGAAAGTTGCAAGGTCTTAACTTACTACTCTCCCTGGCCTCCTAAAACCAGCCCATCTCCAAGTCTTAAGAGGTTTTACACAGGGGTGCCTGGTTGGCTCAGTGGTTTAGCACCTGCCTTTGGCCCAGGACGTGATCCTGGAGTCCTGGGATCGAGTCCCACATCGGGCTCCCTGCAGGGAGCCTGCTTCTCCCTCTGCCTGTGTCTCTGCCTCTCCCTCTCTCAGTGTCTCTCATGAATAAATAAATAAAATCTTTTTTTTAAAAGAGGTTTTACACAGAAATGTCTCTCACATCTTTTCTCTCTTGTCCATCTTTATTATCATTGTTCCAGTTCAGGCCATCAGCCTGGACCATTGCACCAGCCCCCTCCTGGGCCGCCCTACATCAGACCCCACTTGGATGTCTCCCTCTTGGATAAGCCTTCCTCGGTGCCAAGCGGAAATAGTTACATTCTCTACCCTTCTACTGACATACATGATAACCCTCGATCATGGTCTGCCTGCACTGTGTAGAAATCATCTTAGCCTCCTCCATAAGACTGGGAAGGACCATGTCTGATCGGATTCATCTCCATATGGCATTTCCAGGGGCTAGAACAAAGAGGTCCTCAGAAAGTAATGTGAATGATAATTTAATAGTCCTTTTCCACTTCATTTGCCAAATCTGGAAATGCCATTCCAGATTCATATTCATTTGGCCTTGCATCTCAAAACTCTACTTCAGGGCCTTTGCACATGTCCTTCCTGCTGCCCAAAGCACTCTTTCTCTAGAACTCTGTCTACTTTTCCTTCAGCATTTAGTGTAAATGATACATCTATGGAGGTACCTCTGATTTCTCCATCTAAATCAGACCTCCTTAGATGAAATAATGATGCAAGAGAGAAAAACAGGAGGAATCACAAGGCAGTGTACAGTTAAGTGCCAAATAAGACAAGGAGTAAAAAAAATTACTTAGGAGTTCAAGGAATAGAGAATTTACTGTGAATTGGAAAGCCAGATAGGACTTCCTCTGAGAGACGGAATATAAACTAAGTCTCCAAGATAAACTAAGAATCAGGTAGGTAGAAAGTAGGGGCATGGTCATTCTGGAGGCTGTGGACAGGGCTTCCATGTGCAATCCTGCAGGTGACCCAAGAGGCCTCAGAAGGGCTGAACTCCACCTTGATCTCTGCCCACTAACCCTCAGCCATTGAGACTTTGTCCACCGGAAGGCGGCACCTTTATCAATTGGTTCAAAGGCCCCCAGGGCTTGTGGAGGTCCTATCCTGAGAAAGAGGTGAAGAAAAGGCATAGTGCGAGTAGGTTTAAGAAGGGGATAATCACAAGTCCCTTTGGGGAGCAGGGAGCAGACTGCACTGTTTGAAACAAACATCTTAGAGGAAGGGAAATGAGGAAACAAGGCTCATTTGATTTCATTGCCAGGCCTTTGAACATGTCAGTAAGTTCTGACTCCTCAGGAAGCTTGAAGAGCTTATGGAAAATCCAAACCCAAATGGGGCTCCTCAGAGAGAAGCCTCAGTTACAGCTGCTGAGGAGCAAACAATGGGTTAGAATCAGGGACTCAAACAACTTCTCAAAAACATAAAAATGTGTACAAAAGTAGATCCCTCCCTTAGTTGTCTCCTTTTCCTTCACAGCATTCATCACAGTGTACAGTGGGAGTCCAGTTCACTTGTTTCTCTGTCGTGGTCTGTCATGCCAGCCAGAGTCCAAGTGCCAGAAGCAAGGTGTGTGCTGTCCTTGTTGACCACCGTATATCCCAATGCCTGCCAGAACTGTTTTTTGAATGAATGAACAGAAAAGAAAACTCAGATATTCAACAATAAGGAAATAGTTACACAAACGGTAGAAGATACTGCCGATGACAGCTTTAGCCGCTTGGAAAATGTTGATGATGTAACAGTAAGCAGACTGGTGCATTGCAATTACAATGCTGAAAAACTGTCCTGCTTAAATGGGGCCTGGAAGAATATAGAGACAAATGAGAACAGCTGTGGTGCTAGAGGCACGAGATCTTGGTTGAATTTGCCTCTCAATTTGGGCAAACTGGGTCAACCTTGGGGGTCTTCATATCCTTAGACCCAGAAATCCATCCAATTTCTAGATACTTCTGCTACAAATCAGAAAGGCAGACGTAAGCTTGCCGTGGTTATGTGTCACCAGGAAACCTCTCTGCTCCAGGCACCGTCCTAAGCATTTTACATACGCCATGTCATGTAATCTTCACAACAGCCCTGGGATATGTCCCGTTATTAATCACATTTTACAGATAGAGAAAGAAATTATTATTCAGAGAAGTCACTTGCCCAAGTCACACAGCTAGTAAAGGGCTCAAACTCAGCATGATGTGACACTAGCACCCAGCTCCAAGCACCCACACTCATCCCCACACCAGGACTTTGTGCACAAAAATACTCAACATATGGAAAAGAAGGGGGAAAAAAGAGAGACAAGCCAAAAGACAGACACTTAACTATAGAGAACAAACAGATGGTACCAGAGGGGAGGTAAAGAGGGGAAGGCGGGTGAAGTAGGTGAAAGGGATTCAGAGGATACTTATCATGATGAGCACTGAGAAATGTATGGAACTATTGAATCACTGTATTGTACACCTGGAACTAATATAAGACTCTATGTTAATTATATTGGAATTAAAATTTTTTAGATTTTTAAATAAAAACTGAAAAAATTTAAAAATAAAAGCTAAAAACATACTCAACATGTTATACATAACTGAGCCCATATGTATGTCTATGTATTTATGTATAAATATATATACATGCTAATCCTCAGCTATGTGAAAATTATATTCAGGGAAAAACACTGGAAGCCAATATGTCAATATATTAATAGTGGTTGTTCTGGATGGTAGAATTAGAGTGACTGGTTTTCTTCTTTCTTCTTTTCTATATTTTCTTTTTTTGTTGTTGTTAAATACACTCCATGCCCAGCATGGAGCCCAAATGCAGGGCTTGAACTCACAACCCTGGGATCAAGAATCGGACGCTTAACCAACCGAGCCACTCAGGTGCCCCTATTCTTTTCTATATTTTACAAATTTTCTGCAATGAAAATTGCATTGCTTTTGATTACTGGAAAAATATGATTTTTAAATTTAAAAAATGTCCTTTGATTGTTCTGTCATTTTTACAGCAAGTCCATTTCTGAGGAAAGACACAGGAAGGAACAGTTCAAGAAAGAGGGCTATGAGATCGCAGTTTCCGTCCTGTTAGTATCAAAGAGCACCACCAGGTGGCTCCTGTGGCCCA